TATAGTATCTATGATAGAGCTAAATGTTGTATACGATCTCGTGGGTCAATGTTGGCCATAGGCCCCAGTGAGTACGTACCCAGGAGAACACCAACACCCACTCTACCTGATTGGTTATTCAGAAACCGGACGGAGTTTGATTAATGCTTGTGATAAGGACTCAGACTTTTTTGTGATGCCGGGCTACGACTTAAAGGTTAATGGTGAATACGCCCGGATCGAGTCCCTCGAGTGCTCCTCATGCAGACTGATACTGAGAGACGCTATACAAAATGAAGAGGGTCAGAGGTTTTGTAAGAGCTGCTGGGAAGAAGCAATGTATGATACATAATGCCTGTCAAAGGGGTGTGTTATGGGTTTTATCTCTCATTATATAGTTCCTCTGGTTCGAAAGCTCAAAAATTGGGGATTGATCCATCTGAAGAAGTAAGTTTTGCATCTCTGCAGTATCCAGCTAACTGCATTATTTATGTATTGTACTTATTTACAGATACACCCTGATATTGCTGTTAGAAGAGAGATATACAGGCTCCCAGTTTTATGTGAGAACTATGAGAATGGATGTGAATGGACTGGGAAACTTCAAGACCATGAGGTAGGTAGCCATGTTCAGATGTTACCCAAGGGGTGGGTTTTATGAGTACAGCCAGAATTGTGGTTAACAGCTGCAATAACACTGGTTTCTTGTTCCCTCCCAGCATGATCACAAAGCTATCTGTGAGTATAAAACCATGAGATGTACTCTTGGCTGTGGTAAAAGAATCCCTCTTGGAAAGTTGAGAAAACATGAACAAGAAGAGTGTCCATTTCGAAAAATTGATTGCCGACATTGCAGAAGTGAATTGTTAGCCGGAGACTATAATGTAAGAAGATGATAACATTGATACATTGATTTTATAATCCATATATTAAGGATCACATATTGAACTGTCCTAATGCTCCTTATACTTGTGGTCATTGTCACACTGAAATGCCAAGAAGTGAAGTGAGCTTGTGCTTTATAATTATACCAATTGGAATAATGATCTCATTTATCATCATATTATTAGATGGATAGTCACATCTTACTTAACTGCAGAGAACAACTGTCTTGCTTTGGATGTGATCAGCAGGTAAACTTATACAGTATAACCTCGATTATCCGGACCCCTTTGTCTATCAGGTGGTCCGGATAAGTGAAAAGTCCGGATAATCGAAATGACCTTCAAAACTTTCATATACTTACTCCAAAGAAAAGCTAGAGCCTTAATCGGCCATAAGGAGGCTGTATCCAAGCCTTTTTACTAGTAGAAAGCCCTTAATCAGCAGCATTCCAGTGTTAAACAAGCTACTCTGTGTAGAAAGCAGCCATTTTATAATACCATATACTCTAATTAAGTGAATTTAAAGCACCACGTGGTCACTTCCGGTCATGATTTTAGAGTCCGGATAATCGAGGGTCCGGATAATCAAGGGTCCGGATAATCGAGGGTCCGGATAATCGAGGGTCCGGATAATCGAGGTCCGGATAATCGAGGTCTGGATAATCGAGGTTATACTGTACTATAATAATAATTAAATTCAGTGGGGGGAATTTCCCTGGGAAAACACCCAAACAACTGTGTATTTCATTGTGACATCATACAGCTGTTTTAATTGTAATTCCTACAGATACACAGAAGTCTAGCAAAGCATCCAAATCCTATAAATCATTTGGAACGTGATCAACTCTTCGTGCATCTCCAAATGCTAGGACTGGCTATCAAGAAAACGCAGACACAATTAAATGTAGAACTGAAGGAGATTCGAAAAGAGCTTAAAGAATTTACTGAAAGCACTTCAATATTCAGGGATAATATGATTGATGAGAGTTCCTCATTAACAAAACAAGTAAAAAAACTCGAAGAGCGTCTTAAAGGAGAACCTTCAAACCAAATTATACTGGAATTACAAGAAAGTGTTAAGCTACTAGCTGAAAGAGTTAGTAAGGTCGAATCTGGAGCAAGCTACCGTCCTCTTAACCAGGGCTTTGATGACATGTCAACAAGTGACAGCAAAATGGGAGGATCCGTGGAGCACAAATTAGCAGAGCAAGAAAGGACGTCTGGGATGTTAAAAGTTCATTTGTCAGAGCTCGAATTACAATTACAAGCTTCTCTTGCTTCTACCTACAATGGCTCATTTTTGTGGCGCATACCTGATGTCAAACGAAGGAAAAGAGATGCCATTGAGGGGAAAATCACGTCAATCTATAGTCCACCTTTCTACACTGGACGAAATGGATATAAGATGTGTATTCGTGCCTATCTCAATGGAGATGGAATCGGATATAATACTCATTTATCCATTTTTTTCGTCTTGATGAAAGGTAAGAACCATAACATGGTTTCTAGATTTAAAAATAGTTTTAAGTGTAAAGAGTGAACTAAATATACATTATTCATTAAAAGGAGGTTTCATTTTTACATTGTTTTGCATTGTATGAATATTAGCTTCAGACAATTTTCCATTGAATGAATTTGTCTGACTGTCACGTTTACACTCTATAGGTGAATATGACCCATTATTGAAGTGGCCTTTTGATTACAAAGTTTCTTTAATCATGGTGGATCAAGACCACAAGAGGCACATTGTGCAAACTTTCAAGCCGTCTCCCAGTTCCAGTAGCTTCCAGAGACCAAAATCAGACATGAACATCGCCTCTGGGTGTCCAAAGTTTGCTGAGTTAAAAATCCTTGACAATGAATCATACGTAAAAGAAGATGTAATGTATGTTAAGGCTATTGTGGACACCACTAGGATTTTCCATCCTTAAAAATGGATTTTTAATTAGGTTGGTGTCCACAAGATACTGGTATATCTAGTATACCAGTTAGGCCTGTATGTACGCACATTTTGCAGATGATCCATGATTAAAATTTTCTTAAAAGTTAATAAATAATCTATCTGTACACTATAATACACAAGTTATGAGAATGCTATCAACTTGGCTATGTTTTAATGCAGACTTGATCATCTCATTTTGAAGGTTTTCTGTTTTGTGGGATCGTCAGTGCTGCAGTAGGCTGACGAGAGGAAGACAAAGGAGGCTCAGTTAATGTATTAGCATGCACTGTCCCCTCCTGGTGGTATGACAAAGATCTCTTAGTGCTCCTACGACGAGTGATAGTACCATACATTTCAGCTTGTCTTAGTTCCTAAAAGAAGGCGAGAGAAAACATTCAATGTTAGTCTTGTGGAGTTGAATGGTTTTACTTCTGATGTGTATTGATGTTCTTGAGGAGAGAGGTCAGGTGAGCTAACATACTGTCGCA